ACCCCCCCCCCCCCAGGCAGCCCTTTCCCCGCGACGATAGATGATCTAGGCCTACGGAGGCCTCACCTGGGAGGGGTCCGAGTACAAATTGGAGTTGATGACGAGACCCTTCATCCCTCCCACCCAGAAGCCGAAGTAATCGTCGCCAAAGTCCTCTTGGAATGTCCGGAGGGAGGAAGGCGTGGGGGCGTTGCCCACGTCGTGATTTCCGCAGACACACAGGAGGGGGATGGAGGGGTGGACCTCGCTAAAAATGGCCTGAGTGATGGCGAGGGAGGGAGGGAAGGTGAGGAAGGTGGGAGGGAGAGGTTTTTACGGGGCGAAAAGGGTGGTACCTTGAAGTCGGCTACTTGTCGGTCTCGAATGGCAGGGTCCGTGTGGGGGTACATGCGAGGGAAGTGGTGAACGAGGTCACCGCAGACGATGGCGAACTGGGGCCGTGGGGTCAAATTATTGAGTTTTTGCACCGCCATGCGACAGAGAACTTTTTCTTCCTCCCAGCTTGTGTTGTTGTCGATGGCGCCCAATTGCGTGTCAGCTAAGGTGGCGAAAAAGAAAGGAGTGAATGGCTGAGAGGAGTCGGTGCAAGACCCTGTCGTGTCTGCTGCATCCCCTGATTTAGGTGACGATGATAAATTGACCAGACCGGGATACACTCGATTACTGGGACAGACCCAGGAGGAATTGCTTGCATTGGAGAGTGTGCCAGCTGTGCCGGGAGTCGAATGAGAGGCAGGAGGATGGGCTTTGGCTGCGATGCCCGCGTGGTCGATTGACGCGGATGCGATAGGAAGGGGAATAGGGGGAGGGGACGCTGAAGATGCGGCTGCCGGAGGGGGCACTTCCACCATTGCTTTTTAGGTTCTTTCCTTTGCACGGTGCCGCGTGACTGATGATTGAAATCAAGACAAGGTTTTCTAGTCAGAACGAGAAGTTTCTGTGCGGACGGGTAGTGGCACGACCGAGGTCTCGACACATCGCTTCAGCACGCCCTAGTATATTCACAGCCTGCTGCTGTCAAAAAAGCCGACATCCATTTCTAAAATATGCATGTCCTAGCCATACACATCCTAGTTTTCATGACGCCCAGCACCGGCGATATCGTGACCTGATCGCATTAATTGCACTAGTAACCCCCTGCCTCGCTATGGAACTTGTCGAGGGTTGGGGGGTGGCCCCAGAGCGTGACGTACTACTCGCTGTGGGGACGCTGTTTTGTCCTCAGGTCGCACAAAACGAAACGCAGCCCCCATTGCCACCGTCGCAGTGCGTTGGGTATTGGGACGATTTTTAACTGACCACAGAGGCGAATTGCGAACCTCTTGTCTTTCCACTTGTCGAAAAACATCACTTGGGGTATGGCCCTGCCTGGATGGAAGCATCATGCTTACTTGCTTGCACGGCGACGTCGCCTTGGTTAGTACGTTCGCGACATTGCATGAGAGCGGCATATGAAAGAAGTAACGTAATTCACACATTTTTTCTTTCCAATTTTTATGGGTGCGCCTCGTCTGTTCGTCTTGAGGTGACACACCTCTCATTTCATGCTGAACTCACTTGCCCCGCCCCCATCATCAGCACCCGGTGCAAGCAACCCAATCCAGAAAAGTTACCGTCTCACATCATTACATCTTAGCGGGAGGACATGGCCCCATACCGTGTCCTCTCACGGGCGTTCTCGGCGACCCTCGCCATGAGCCTCAAGCGTGCCGGAGACGGGCCCTGGCGTGGGATGTGCGTGATGCGAGGGGAAGGGAAGGAGGGGGAGGCGTACGTGGACGGGAACGGGGAATGTGTATGTGTGGCGTGCGGAGATCGGGCCGTGTAAGTGCCATAACGGGACAGGGGGGGCGTGGCGATGGCCGTGGAGGGGCTCAATGCCCTCCTGCCCCCGCCTGTCTCCGTCCCCCTTCCCATCCCGGCGGCCTTCCTCCTTCCCACTCCAAAGTCCTCGAACCTCATGCCCATGCTCCCATAGGAAGAAACCTGTCGATTCTCGTATTTCTCATCCCGTGCCGCCGCAGACAGACTCCTCCCTCCCTCCCGAACCTCCTCTGACCCCGCCTTCCCACCCTCCTTCCCCTCTTCCTCTCCCGGTATCACCCCGCGCCATTCCCTCCTCGAGCCTCCACCCCGCGGCCTCGCGTCGGGGCAAGCCCAGGCAGGGGCGGGGCTGGCGGGGCAGTGCGCCCGAAGCAACCGGCGTTGAAGATGCACCTCCTCGTCAGGGTCGAAGGCTGAGGAATGATGCCACATGGCCCTTTCTCGTTCCCTCCCTTCCTCCCCACCCGCTGCTTTGCGTCCGACAGGATCGGACACCCTCCCTCCCCTCAATACACCCTGCGCCACCAGCCTCCGCGACTGATGAGACTCCTGCCTTGGCTCATCTTCCCTCACCCGAACCTCCTCATGCCTCAGCCGCGCTACTTCCCCTCCTTCCCTCCGCATCACCCGAACCTCCTCCTGTAAAGCCGCCCTCCGCTCCCTCTCTCCCTCCCTCCCTCGGTCCCTACCCTTCGACCGCGCCTCCAGCTCCACCACTCGCTTCTTGTACCACTCCACCCTCTCCTCCCGGGCCTTCACTTCCCCTTCCCTCCGCCTCACCTCCCTCTCCACCTCTCTCATCCTCCCTTCCCACTCCATTTCCATCGCCGCCTTCTCCTTCTTCCAGCCTTCTTCCTCCTGCCTCCTCTCTAGAGCCACTCGCTCCCGCTCCCACCCGAGCCGTTCCACCTCCTCCTCCAAGCCCTTCACTTTCTCTGCCTCGCACACGCTCATCCTCTCCATCAGGCGTACCTCCTGGCGCGCCCTCCCCACCCGCCCTTCCAACGTTTCCTTCTCCCCTTCCATGTTCTTCATCTTCGAAAGCATGTCCGCCCTTTCTTCCCGCCATTTTTCCATCTCCTGCGAAGAAATCTTCAAGCTTCGCGTCCGTTCCCGCCACTTTTGAATTTCCGTTTCCAGGGCCGTGACTGTGGCCTCGGTCTTTTCCTTGGCCCGCCTGGCCGCTTCCTCCCTGAGCACAAACTCCTTTAACTTCTCCTTGAGCTCCCGCACCTCCCTCTTGGCAGCCGCCAGCTGTCGCTCCAGCTCCTCCCCCTTCCTCCGAACCTCCGTCATCATCACCTCCGCTTCCTCCTTCCTCCCCTGATGCTCCTTCTCCCGCTTCAGTAACCCCTCCATCGCCAGCTCCTGCGCCGCTATAACCTCCTCCGCGCGTCTCCGTTCTGTATCGGCCTTTTTCGTAGCGGTCTCTGCGGCCTCCTGGTTGGCACGACTCGCGGAAAGAGAAACCTGGAGCTGGGCGATTTCCTGGCGGGAAGAAGCAACAAGGGATTCGGATCCGGTGAAATCGCGTCGGAGCGTGCTGATCTAGGGGGATGAGAGGGGAGAAGAGGAGGGAGGAGGGGGTGGGAGAAGGAAAAGTGAAGGGAGGGGATGGGGTCTGATGAGATAGAGACAGTGATGAAGACGGAGGAAAGGATAGTGGCTGTTTGAAATGAAGATGCACATTTGAAACAGCGCGTGCGGCGATAAGGACGAATAATATGGAAGCTGATGAGGCGCACCTGTTGAGTCAAGTCCAGGATGTTGCTTTCTTGCTGACGCATGACGCCCTTCAACACCTCCTTCTCTTTCTCCATTTCTGCCACCACCCCCAGCGTTCCTTCTACTTTTTCATATAAGACCGCGATCTCCCGGTCCTTCATGCGACATTCTTCTTCCTTCTCCATTAACACCTCTGCGAGTTGCACTCCATCAGTGCCCCCAGCAAGGTAAGCACATTTATCCTGCAGTTGTTGTATCTGCAGGAGAAGGTTGAAGTGCTCGTCGTTGGTGGACTCTTTTGGGCCGTTTGTGTTGGTGGCGGTGCTCGGATGTAGGGCCAGGCCGTCCGGCTCTCTCCTTCCAGGGCCTTGCATGCTCGAAAATGAGCTCTTTTGACAGGACGCGGGGCCAGAGAATTCGAGGACTGAAGCCAGGAAACCGAAGCAGCAGAAGCCTCGCAGCGTGTAAAGCGGGTCACGGTCGCCTCCTCCTCTGATGCCTCTTTGATGTGTTTGTGTTAATGGAGACATGGTAATTCATGAATCGTCAACCCCTTCGAAAGTCTTGAAACAGAACGAGGACGTAGTGGCCTATGCCTCTCAACACAAACAAAGGCATATCAACACAAGCAAAGTGGGCACGCGAGAAATGCCCAGGAAACACGTTTAAGGCCGGTGCGACATCTCAATTCGAGCATATTGTGGTGGTTGCTCTTGTAACGAGGTCACGCCTTAAGCCCCTCTCAGGAGTGCACAATGCACAGACCTCAAAGCGATGGCCTCAGAATGAAGGCAATCATGTCCTAGCTCCCACTTTCCCGTCTCCGTGTGCCTTGCGAGGGCGTACGCATGGCCCCTGTGGGCCCTGATTGGAACGTATTTCTTTTTTATTTGGGCCTGCTTGTCGCTTGAAGCTTCAGCGACGGCGGGGGCGGGTCTGGCTGGCGGGCATGTACGTGTCTATTGAATGCACACTTTACCCAAATTCTCACGCTGATTGGCCATATTGTCATGCACACACGATCCAGGCAAGCGTCTCCCGTGGTGGTTGTACCAGGGCACCGGATGGAAGGATTGTAAATGCGCCGGCCTTTGTTATTGCCCTCCTTATTGGTGCTCGTCACATCCAGGACGATCAGATCCATCCCCGGCCCCCCCTTGGCAAAGCCTGCACGGGGTGTGGCGCTTCTATCATCTGCGTCTTCCCTACCACATCCCTTCTCCACGCTGGCAGGGACATCAAGGCGAATTTTCATTTCTCGCGCGCGGTTTGACTCTTTGCCTGGCCATCGCCGGGGTCCCCTCACGGAAAGCTACGTAAGTGCAAGCTGGTGGCACTTTTCTGTGTGTCACGGGGAAGGATTTTTTTTTCTGTATTCATGTTTCGATGTCTAGTATTTACACAGCTTCCCATTCATCCTTTCGTCTTTCAGCTCCCTTAAACGCTTTCATTGCCAATACGCTTTATGCTCCACGCGTGCCTTGCGGTGCTCCACCTCACTATCACATGCCATGCGGGGCTCTACCGAACCTCTTTCAACAGTTCTACAGGCACGAGGTACATCGACGCTTCGTCTCCAAGTCCGTGCTTTTCGCTGCCTCCCCCTCGCCCTCTGCCCTTCCTCCCGCCTCCTCCCTCGATCCCCCCCTTAAGAACGCGTGGGGGCAGCGCATCATCCCTCTCAACGACCTTTCCCTCCCGCCTTCCTCAGCCGTTTTAGACCTGACCGACGATCTCCTCCGTCGAGGGATCCCGGAGCTCGCGGACATCAAGGAAGGCCTGGTCTTCTTCCAGCTCCAGCAGCCTCCACACCCAGGACGGGACTCTGCCCGGGTACCTGACAAAGCCATTGTCGCCTCCCCCGCCCCCCCTCTCGGACAGGGTGACGCATCCTCTCCCGGTCAGGCCTGGCTCTCTCTCTCCCTCCAGTCCCCCGGCGACGGTCTCGCAGCACCGGCTTCGGAGGGGCGCGCCCGCCTTCTCGGCCTCCCCCTTCGTAACGGCCGCCTCCAGGACCCTCAGGCTCGACCCGGCGCCCCCCGCATCCTGCTGAAC